TGGCTATCTAGTGTATCTATCTAGCTATCTATAGTATCGGTTGCATAACCCTTGTTAGCTATGTTCAAGGAAATATGCCCTCGAGTGTTCGAGAAAATATGTCTTTTCACTGAAAAGGTCTAGGCCCACCGCTAGCAAATATTGTTCTTTTTGAGTTTTCCCTTTCGGGTCGCCTCAAGGCTTTAAAACGTGTTTGCTAGAGAAAAGTTTTCACACCCTTAGAAAGAATGTTTCGTTCTCTCCCTAACCAATGTGGGATTGTGGGATTTCACATTGAATGAGGGTGCTACAATGTGAATGATCCTTAATAAATTAGATGATAAGTTATTGTGATGCTCGACTAAAGAAATGATACATAAATGAACCGTGACGACGTTTGAATGAAAGTTATACTGAGGATAGGATCCTCGAGCAAGCTTAAAAAGAAAACTACATATACCAACAATGTGTATCTTTCTTTTCGATGGTTTGATTATAGGAACTTCAGAGCTAAACGTGTTTTGTTTAAAGTAATTTTATATTGGGTGACCTCCTAAGAATTTTCTTGGAAAGCATGTGAGTGGGGACAAAGCTTACTGAATTGACAAATAAGTAACATGGTCATGTCTTAGGGGATGCAAGGGAATGTTGGGACAAACAGCTGCTGAATCTAGATTCTGAATCATCAAAGTCAACAGGTCCTGAATTCAAATTTTAAATTCTATTCGAACCTAGGGCACGATGCGTTATGTGAGATCCACATAAGTTGGAGAGATGATCAGAGCATTTCTTATAAGGGTGTGGAAACTTCTCCTAATAGAAGCGTTTTAAAATCATGAGACTGACGATGATATGTAACTAACCAAAATGGACAATATCTCTGTTACCAGTGTGTTTGGGCTATTACAAATAGTATCAGAGCCAGACATCGAGCGGAGTGTCAGCGAGGACGCTGGAACCCAAGAATGAGCGGATTGTGAGATCCCACATCGGTTGGAGAGGGAGAACTCACATTTCTTATAACTGTATAGAAATCTCTCCCTAATAGACGTATTTTAAAACCGTGAAGCTGACAATGATACGGACCAAAACAGACAATATCTACTAGCGATGGACTTGGACTGTTACACGTTACAAACACTCTCAACTCCCGAACCCGTGTTTAAAAGTCCGTGTACTAGAAAGAATAATTAAACATATATGAATAATGATGTCTATTTCACCCTTTAATGGACTATAGTTCTTTAATGCATCGAGTTCCTCAACTGGCTTTTACAGAGAAGGTTGGTAAAAGAACATTAATTAATTAAAGTTTTAGGCGAAGTATTAGAATTGTATTGGACTATATGCCTCATTTAATTTAAATTAATCAATTCATTATAAAATGAGGAAAAATAAAGATGCCTTTAGTGGACGAATTTATTACATAAATCATATCATATAATATAAATTAAATTAATTTTTATCCTAACTTTCACATGTATTCTTGGATCTTTCCCTATGCCACACACATTCCATGTATATACATTACTTAAATAGGACATATTAATAAAAGCTATGAAAATTTTAATTTTATTAAAAATAAAAAATGGAATAAACTATTTGAACAACTCGACCCAACCCAATCGAACCCAAAATTTTACGGTAACAATTTGGTTGTGTCTAAAAATTGCTCAAACCAACGGACGATTGTGACATGGACTGACACACATACACTAAAAAGTACGATGACCAAAAAGACTGATGCCCTGAAATGATCCTTCTCTATGGTTGTACATCTCTCGAACACCTTTGTAACAATTCAAGTTCGCCGCTGACAGATATTGTCTGCTTTAGCACATTACGTATCGTCATCAACCTCACAATTTTAAAACACATCTGATGGGGAGAGGTTTCAACACTCTTATAAGGAATGCTTTGTTCCTCTCCTCTGGGAGCCAGTGTCCTCACTGGAGAGGTTTCAACACCCTTATAAGAAATGATTCATAATCAAAAGTGTTCTCACTGGGTAGGTTTCAACACCTTATAAGTAATGATTCGTTTCTCTCTCTAACCAATGTGGGATCTCACAATCCACCCCTTTGGAAGCCAATGTCCTCGTTGGCACACCACTCCGTGTCTGACTCTGATATTATTTATAATAACTCAAGCCCACCGCTAGTAGATATTGTCCACTTTAGCTCATTATATATTGTTGTTAACCTTATAAGGAATGCTTTGTTCATCTCTCAAATCGATGTGAGGTCTCACAATCCACCTTTGGGAGCCAGTGTCTTCACTAGAGAGGTTTCAACACCCTCATAAGGAATGCTTCGTTCCTCTAACCGACATGGAATCTCACAATCCACTTCTTTAGGAGCCAGTGCCCTCGTTGGCATACCGCTCAGTGTCTAACTCATATATCATTTATAGTAACCTAAGCCCACTGGTAACAAATATTGTCCACTTAAGCTCATTACATATCGTCATCAACCTCATAGTTTTAAAACGCATCTACTAGAGAAAAGTTTCCACATCCTTATGACCCTTATGATGAATGCTCCGTTCCCTCTCTAACCGATGTAAGATCACAGAACTCATATCTCAATCAACTATGATTTGAAAGAACAAAAGTAACGACAGACGGGTGAGTATAAAAATACTGGGAGAGATTGATAATGGGACCAACTTTTTAGAAGAAGATAAGAAAATGTGAAAAAGGATGGAAATAAGTGTGAGTTTTTTGTTCATCCCATTGTCAAAAGGGCAATACATTTAGGTATTGAAAACATAGTCATTAAAAGACAAACAGAGAAGACCAATATAGAAACAAAGACAGAGCTGCCGATCCATCAGACAAGTGCTGTCCTTCCAACTCCAACTCCCATGTGTTCTTTTTTCTTTTCCTTTTTCCCCCAATTCTCTTCCTTGTACTCATCAATTCTTACTTAGATTCCCCTGTCCCCCTTATAAATATCCACTCAATCCACCCTTTCTCCATACAATTTCCCTTCAATTTCTCCTCTTGTTCTTGTTTTTACCTCAAAAATGGCAACCTTCACCAAATTAAAACTTTTTGGTTTTGATGTTCGAGAAGAGTTGGAAGAGGATGATTCAGCCAAAACTCCAACTGGGTCGTCGGAATCCGGCGTGTTTACCCCCTCCGGTGACCGGAAATACGAGTGTCTATACTGTTGTCGGGAGTTTGCTAACTCGCAGGCACTTGGCGGCCATCAGAACGCTCACAAGAAAGAAAGGAAGCAACTTAAACGTGCCCAATTACAAGCTACACGAAGCGCTGCCGTTGCGTATATTAGGAATCCGATTATTTCGGCGTTTTCTCCTCCGCCGCATCTTCTTGCTGCCGGGCGGCCTCCGACGTTTGTGCTACCTAACGGTGGTGGTGCTGGAACGTCGTCGTGGGTTTATATGCAGAGGACGCCGCCGCCTATACATGTTTCGTCACATGGGTGTGTGTTTCCAACGGCGGTGGGGGGGATGGGGTCGTCGTACGGCGGTGGAATTGGGAATTCGGTGGCATTGACGGTGGGGTCTCGAGTGCAGGGGCGGGGCGGTGAGGGGATGTCGTTGAAGAGATTTACGAAGGGGGAAAATGGGTCGGGGTTTGATGACGGAATTGGGTTGGATTTGCATTTGAGATTAGCGCCGGCGGCGCCATGAATCGGAATCCCCTTTTCGAGCTCTTCAAATCGTCTCGGCCGAAACTCGGAATCGGATCGGGTGTTTGGATCGTACGCTTTTTTTTTTTTTTAGAAATTTTTGAAAATCCTTAATAGAAATTATTATGTACATTTTTTATTTATATTTATATTTATATTATTAGATCTATTATGTCTCTGAAATACATTTATTCATTCCTGGGATGTGAAATGTCTGATGATTATTTTATTTTATTTTTATTTATTAAATTATCGTTTTGTGTGCAATGACTGAACAATTGACTAGGACGAAATAAATTATTATTAAAAAAACAATTTCCACCGAAAAATGATTCCACGTCAGAAATTATATATATATATATATAAAGTTGTGGGCCCCTGAAAAGCATTAAAAAAAACTATATATAACCCAAAAACATAATGTAAATAAATTGTGTATGATGGTTTAGTGGTATTAATTTTCGACAAAAATATGTAATTAGTAGGTTTAGAATCTTCGTTTAAACACTGGAAGAGGGAGTGTGAGCTAAGTATCCAATTCTTGTATCGTTCTTATTTTCATATATAAATATTAATATATCTATATCAAAAACTCGATCTTTGCTATTCCATAAGGAATTCTTGTATCTAATCCCTATAAAAATAAATGGAGAATTTCACGGAGATGGTGATTGAAATATAAGGTAGAAATGAGAACAGAGAACCTACATTTAAAAAAATTATTTCGCATAGATACTTATAATAGTAATAATAACCTAACCAATTGATTTTATTTGGTGTGAATCATAAATGATTGCATTAATGTAAGTAGAAGAAAGGGATACTCAAGAAGAATTAAGCATGAAATTAGATAAATTTTGATTAGTCAAACCCTTCATGAAATTGAGTGATTTGTAAGGCCCAATTAGCAAAATTCTAAACAAAAGTGAGTGAGAGAGACATGTTCCCAAGGTGTCTCCGATAATTAAGCTCATTTCTTCAATCATTAATTTACAAGGTTGGCTGCCACCCTAAACCAAAAAGATAATTATGGACACCAAATCACTTTATCAAATCAAAACCATATTCAAAATAAGAACCAATAGTATATTAGTCCTCAGAGAATTGGTAGAATCTTCAATAACTCGTGGCGTTGAGGTTTGAATCTTCAACCTGAAAATATGATAGAATTAGTAGTAAAACATAGATGTCGATGAATATATCTTTAGAAAGTTATAAAAAAATTATTTTTATACAGTATAGTTGAAATATTGATCCATGTTCTAAGTTAATATCAATGAAAATGTCAACCTAATGACAAAAACGTCTTTTCTCGTAGATTGGTTGAAGTTTATGGTGGGTTTTGGTGTGAAAAAAAGGCAAAGAGAGAGAGTGATTGAATATGTTTAACCAAAACCAAATAGAGGCCTCAAATTTTCTTGTCAATCCAAAGTGTAAATCCCCTTTTTTTTAGGCATTTTTAGGGTCTAGCTTCTTCACAAATGGGTTTGGTAAAGAAGGCAACAATATCATTACAACAACTTGTAGACTAAAATGAAGTTAACCCCGATTGGGTCTTCTTTCTACTTTTCTTTCTTCTTTCCTATATTTCGCCAAATGGGTTTGATTTTATGTGTCTTGATTAGGTCTTCAATGTCCATTACTTGGTTTAAGCTTCAAAGAAACATGTAATCACAAGAGCTTCATCAATGTAAATCTGTTAGTTATAATCAAATAATTGTCGTCTAGAATCGAGTTGAATTTGCTTCTTAATTGAAACAAAAAAAAAAAAAGAGAAGAAAATGTGATCACCTGCTAAAATTGATTGAGCTGAAATTGGAAAGGACCCCAAGAAACAGTACAAGCTTCGCTTCATGGAAAACCTGGGAGAATAAGTTCAGATCAAATCCACAGATAAGTTGGAAGGTAATCTAATCATACAATAATGTCTGTACTTTTACTTTAATTTTTAAGCAAGATAAGAGGCCCAAAATAGTGGACCCTATTGCTGGTTGGCCTTTAAGATGACCCAAGAGGTGAGGTTTCATAATAGAATTTGGGAACAGATGTGCATCCATCAACCATATCGTGAGATCCTGTATTGGGGAGGAGAACGAAACATTCTTTAGAAGGGTATGAAAACTTCCTCTTAGGAGACGTGTTTTAAAAGCCTTGGGAGGAAGATCGAAAGAAAATACTCAAAAATGACAGTATATGCTAGTGGTGGGCTATATAATACTGCAACATTCCTTTTCAAATGTTATTATTACGAGGAGAAAGTAAAGAGGAACTATTGAAAAGAGAATAATATGTCAATAAAAAGGGAATCATGTAAAGCTACAATGGCACAGCAACTGACCCACAAGTTTCAACTATTGAACTAAAATCAGTGTCTCTTGCAAATGAGAATGTAAAAAGAAAAGCAACAACTGTGGTAGAGACATCATTTCCTGCTTATTTACAGACATTTGGAAGGACAAGGAAGACACAAGTTCAGTACAGAAAAGTGATCAAGGCCAACAAGCTGCTGCTCATTTACATTTTTTGCTACCAAGTCCTTAGAAGTTTAGAGCTAGTTCAACAAGGATCCAGAGCCAAGTGAAAGGCAGGTTTACAGGCACTGCTGGCTGTTTCAACTTCTACTTATATATGTTGAGAGGATTGTTGGGAAAGAGTCCCATATTGGTTAATTAAGGAGAAGATCATGGGTTTCTAAGTAAGGAATACTATCTCTATTGATATGAGGCCTAATAGGGAAACCAAAAGCAAAGTCATAAAAACATATGTTTAAAGTGGACAATATCATACCATTGTGGAGGTTCGTGGTTCCTATCCTTCATGTTTTTCCTCACTATGTTTTCAAGTAAACCTCAATGGAAAATCAAATTGTTTCAGTTCTGATTACTTCAACAACAGTCTCTATTCTGCCTAGCTACTGTTCTTCCTTCCTTTCACATGCAAGGACACCATCTTCTTTAAATCCTTGCACTTCTCCTTGTCATGTCTTAGAGATCCATCGGAGGGAAATAAACTGATGCTGAGAATTTTAACTGATAAAAGAAAAGAATATATTCTTTGCAATCTAAATGGAAACGATCCAACCAAGATGGAAATGATGGATGTAATTTTTTTTTAAAAGAAGAAACAAACATTAGAAAACATATTTCCTCCTCAAAACTGCAAAGATCTTGACAAATAATCATACTTGCAAGATCGAAAATCTGAAGAAGGAACTGATGACTTGTTCAAGCCTGCTGTAATCAAACCAAGGAAATTGATGCTGTAGATGTAGACATCTACCTATCTCCCCTAAATCCAGCCTCATGTACATCTAAAAGACAACTCCGAGCAAACATGTTCATCTGGCCTATCGTCATGAAAATTTAATATACTGAAAGGCGAGAAGTGATCAAGCAAACCCGGAGTTTATAAAAAACACTAACGGGCCTAGAAGAAGGAAACCTGAAATGTCATTAGTATAAAGATTCAGTCTAGCAGCGGTGAAAACTATTTATCCAAATATATGACCATGTTCGATTGATAGGCTTCACATCAGTGAGGAACTTTGAAATTCGACGATTCAATATCTAAGTTTCACCATCCGGCATACGCAAAATTTCCACATCTTTAGTCACATAAAGTCTGGTATTCTATCAACAAATTTAAAATCTGTGATCTGCATTACAACATACAGCCAGTTAGTGGTTACTTAATGCGAAGCCAGTCTGGTTTGAACTAATACTATATCACCATATAAGAACCAAATTTGAACTGCTTGAAGCCATTCTTGTGATTTTGTCTGCCCCCAACTAGATATCTGTTTTCCTTCCTAATTTCAAGGATTTAGCATTTGGAGGAAAGAGAACATCTCAAGTTGGTGGAGGTTATTGCTTGTTTCTTGTTTCTGGTAGCTCTGAATCGATATATTGAACACCACCTGGGTTTATTCTTTTATCCTTCTCATCATTTTCTTCCAGACCTAGATGATTGTGTTGGATGATGAAAGTCCCACATCGACTAATTTAGAGAATGATCATGGGTTTATAATCAAGGAATACTCTCTCCATTCATATGAGGTCTTTTGGGGAAGCCCAAAGAAAAGCCATGAGAGCTTATGTTCGAAGTGGACAATATCATATCATTGTGGAGAGTAGTGTTCGTCTGTTAACTTTATTCTTTTTCCTCTTTTTTTTTTTAAATAACTTCCGTTCTTCATGAACTCCAGGTTCTCTCCTTAAGTATTAAGCAACCAAACAATGTACATAACTTGAAAGAAAAGGTTATTCTCCAAACACAGGGTATTAGCCATGCAGCCAACTCAAGAAACTAAATTCAATTCTAAATAATTCGGCCAGGGTGTAATCCCGCCCTGCATCAACTAAACATTATGTGCACGTAATTCCAAACCAAAGACACACATCATACACAAAAATCACTCGATTAGAAAGAAAAAAAATTAAAAAGAAGCTTCCAGTTAAAGGATTTCAATTGTAGACCACGAATTCCATCAGAAACCAAACGTCTCAATAGAGATACAAGACTAGAATTCACACGAACCTGTAAAGGCCATCAAAATTTGATAGATGCTTGAGAACAGCTCTAGTGACTGAATTCCGAACAGAAACGTCGCTAACTCAGATGCCAAACCTGACAGGAATTCCCGGCCTACATCTTCACAAAAATCCTATTTATTTCAGGATTATGAACGCTGAAATTCTCCGATTTCTTCATTCCCATTTCCCAATTCCTCAAACGAGCGAAGGCTCCGCGTTCGCTCTTCCATGAAAGAAAGGTCCAATATGAGAAGTGGGCCTACTTTGTTCTCTGCTTTGGACTTAGATGGGCTCAGCACAGATATTAGGCCTCACAGCCTATTAAGCCCACATCCAAATTTGAAAGCTTACGATAAAAATAAAAAATTAAAATAAATATTTAGAAATTTAATATTAAAAAAAAAAAGTCAAATAACTTCCAATTCTACCCTAATAGAATTAGGGTTACTAGGTGATATAGTAGTCTTGATAGTAAAGCTGATGACAATATGTAACGGATCAAAACAGACAATATTTGTTAGCGGTGAGCTTCGACTATTACAAATAGTATCAGAGCCAGTCACGAGAAGGTGACTTCTTCAAAGTGGACACGTTCTAAAATCGTGAGGTTGACGACGATACGTAAAGAGTTAAAGCAGATAATATTGTTAGACGAACACGACTCTTCACAATGGTATGATAATGTCTACTTTGAGCATAAACTCTCATAGCTTTGCTTTGGACTTTCCCAAAATGACTCATAGCAATGGAGAGAGTATTATTGGATTATAAACTCATGATCATTCCCTAAATTAGCCGATGTGAGACTTTTAACATCCAACAAATATCTGTTAGGGCTGTTGCAAATGTTATTAGAGTCAAGACACCAAACAATATGCTAGACGTTAGCCCCTAAATGGGTGGATTGTGAGATTCCACATTTGTTGGAGAGAAGAACGAAACATTCTTTGTTAAGCGTATAGAAACCTCTCACTAATAAACACATTTTAAATTGTAAGGTTGACGCCAATACGTACCAAACAAAAGCAGACAATATCTATGGGCTTGGGAACCCGAAACAAAAACATCGAAAAAAATGAGCATAAAAAATTGAAAACCAATCTCCACCATCTCTAAAACGTGAGTGGATCGAACACATCACAAAATAAAAAGAAGAAAACAAACGAATCCAAGATTCAAATGGCTGCAAGCCTCTCCATTTCCATATCTGCATAGAACTTCTCAATGAACAATTCAGCCCTCCGATCAATCGAATCCTCTTCATCGCTCAATTCACTACAATCCAACGCCTCAGAAACCCGCCCCTCAATGGCCGGAAAACCCTCCTCTCCTTCAATTTCACCTCCAAAATTGCCAATGCATCTGCATGGAAACAGCACCGAATAGACACCACCACGGCGGAGGCGACGGCGGCGGCCTCTGTAACAACGAAACAGAGGAGTGGTGGAGGGCGAGAATTGGAACTGGAGAAGCTCAAATTTCTTGGCCGGCGACGATTTCTTGAGGAAAAGGAGCTTTGGGAAGATGGGTTTTTTCATTTTGGCGAGAAAGATGGAAGCTTTGAGGAAATTTAAGAGCTTTTGGGAGATGGGTTGCCTTTTGGGCTGCATGTTTCTTGTTTCAAAAGCAATGGGTTGATAGCCATGGGGGTTTTAAAGAGCGGTGGAAGAACAGAGGAATGCGAGCCGAGCTGGAAAAGATGGCGGTGGTCGGTCGGAGTTTGGAGCTATTAAGAATGGAATATAAGGTAGCCGTTGGGGCATTGTTTTAAAAAGGTCTATGCTGTAAAGCTTCCTACTTTTGGAGGACCCATTTCAAATTTCAAACATATGTAATAGATTAATGATTTATTCCATGTTTTTTTTTAAAATTTATTTCAGTTTTCTCTTATCGTTCTCGCTCAGTGTTTGTCACGGCAGGTGAATGTCTCAAACCTCCACAAAGACCTAAAGACGAGAGTGGTAAAAGGGTTAGTACGAAGGAGGTCTGATGTTATCCGTAAGAAGACCAATGCTAGACATAACAAGTATGGCGTAGGTCAATGAAATTTCTCTCAAACCGATCACTATCGTTTTCTTGCTTACTTCAAGTTTGTCGATTGTATCAATTGTTTATTTGTAAAAAGTTGATCTTTCAGTCTCCTTTTAGTTGAAAATTTATATTTATTAGGCTGAGAGTAATTTTATACCAAATAAATTTATTAATTTTAAATTTAAGCCAATTATAAAAATTTATATTAAATTTATAATTTAATTAATAACAATGAAAATTGTTTAATGGTCTAATTTTTAACTAGATTAAAATTCATAAATTTTTTAGACCAAATATAAACTTTAAATTTATATGTATAATAAATTAATAAATTTTTTAATTTTTTTTTAAATTTAGATACCAAATAAAATTTAAAATCAAGAGAAAGTTTATTTTTAATTAAAAAAATCATATAATAAACTTAAAATTTTATACTTTCCAAAAAATAATTAACTCAAATTTATGTAAATATTTTATTATAATTATGTAATTAAAATAATTTAAGCTAGTAATTAGGAGAATTGCAAGTCAACGCATGGAAATATAAAGAATCGATCAAATTTAGTTAAAAAATCAACATCCAATTGAATTCTATTTTTTTTAATAAAATAATTGGAATTACGTGGCTACTAATTCCTAAATAAATAAATTTTATTTAGCCACTGGTCAAAATAGACAATTTTGACTTTTTTTTTTTTTTTTTTTTTTTTTTTTTTTTTTTTTTTTTTTTTTTTTTTTAATANGTGGGTTAGACTGTGTGATTTGAAAAAAAATTAAAAATATTAATTAAAGTGAAAGGTATTTTTTAAAATATTTTTTAAACAAAATATTAATTTTTTTAAAAAAAAAATTAAGAGTTTTTTTTAAGACAATATTTGAATATCAAATATATTTATATTAGTTTAGCTTATGGTAAAGATTTTTTTTGTAATAATTATATAATAAACACCCAAATATTACATAGAATTTGTTTAAATAATTTAAATAATTAAGTTTAATAAAAAAAATATTTAAATTAATTAAATATTTTATATTAAATAATTAAAATTTAAAACATTTAAAATTAATTTACACATCAATACTTTTCTCTCTTCTCACTCTTCTTCATTATCAAAAAGAAAAAAATTAAAGTAAAATTAAAAACACACCATTCTTTTTTATGATTGACTAATAATTATTTGGATTTTAAAAAATAAAACCTAAAAAATAATACGAATTTCTTTTATATAAATGTCAATACTCATCCAAAATCAGTCAACCATATAAAGTACTTTACAAAAAGTTTATATATTTTAAATAAGGAGGTATTTATATAAATAATATAATATAAACATTATTTATATATATATTATCATGAATTTTAAAAATTTACAAAAAAAAAAAAAAATAATAATAATAATAAATCAAGCATATATTCTATTAGACGGGGAATCTCGTGCTCGTCCTCTGTTCTCATTCATACAAAATTTTCTATTTATTTTATAAATGCTAAAATTATTGCAATAAGGGTTTCATAGAGTAATTTTTTTAAATTTATTTTTTTTATTTTAAAGTTTCAACATAATTTTTATAAAAAAATGGTATAAATAAATAAATATATATATATATATATATATATATATATATATATATATATATATATATATATATATATATATATATAACCATTAAAAAAATTCTACAATATATTTTTTAATTTAAATATTATAATTAGAGTTTTAAAATTAATTAACTTATTTTTAGTATATAATATTCTTTTTTTAATATGGGTTGAAAATATATTTATATTAAACGAGGTGAGGGCGGGGCAAAGAATTAGGTGGAGACGAGAATTAATCCCGTCTCCGACCTTATTTATCTAACGAAAAAAAAGTATTCCTCATTCTTCTATTCTCGATCTAAACCGTGAATCTCCACTCTAAAATCAGAGAAAATGCTAATTTTTTTTAATATAAGTTATTTTTATTGATTTTTTTATTAAATTTACTATTTAACCTCAATTTAATTTGTTTTTAACTATTTAAACTAGGATAATTTAAAGTATTATATATGTTTTTAGCTTAAAAATGATTAAAAATGTTTAAATATATGATTATTAATTACTCCATATATCATATGTAATTGGAAAAACTTTCATTTATTCAATAATAAATATTTTGTGTATAATAATGATTGAAGAGTTAGTTTAAAACGACGGCTTAACCAACAATAATTTTCTCTTTTAAATTACTCAATGGTAAAAAAAAATTAATTAAAAATCTTTATATACTGAATAAATGTATAAATAATATTTAATTAAAAAATGTTAATAAATATATACTTTGACGTAAATATATGTCGACTAAATAATTTAATAAATATAAAAAAAAAATTAAGATATATTTTAGTTATTATTTTAAGACTTGATTATAGATTTATAAGTATCGGGTTTTTTGGTTGGCCAAGGAGTTGGTCGGCCTCATTCTTCATTATTCCATCATGGAGTTTTTCTTATTCGAGCGACAAGGCAGCTAAAATAGTCGAATGGATCTCAAGTTTCTTGAATTGGTCGAGGAGCTGGTTAGTCTCATTCTTCTCTATTTTGTTCTTTGGTTCAAGTTGTCTACTGCTACAATAGCAGAATCGTTCTCGCTCTAAGTGTTGGTAGACTTCGGTAACCATGTGCTCGACTTCAATTTGTTTTTTTTTCCTCCACATTTGTGCTCGTTTTTTAATACATTGTGCAATTTTCTTTAGCTAACCTATTTCTTCTCCACAAACATCACCGATTGCTGTTGTCAAAATTAGGATAAGAAAGTTAACCCCGATGTGTCTGATTGTCATATTTTGAGTATAGAAATTTTTTTATTAATTAGTTTAAAGTTGATTTTGAACTAGATTGAACATGAATTCCACGAGTTCAGGGCATGCATGTTTCATGTCTAAGTCGATACTACGACTCTTATTAAGGGCGACTGGTGAAATTGAGTTTTGGCTCAAATTATTCTTGTGATGTCCCACCTTAGAGAACAAAACACGCTTTAAAGTATGAAAACTTTCCCATAGCAGACGCATTTTAGAGCCTTGCGGGAAGCCCAAAAGGGAAAGTTCAAAGAGGACAATATTTGCTAGCGGTGGATATGGGTCGTTACAAATGGTATCAGAGCCAGACACCGAACGGTGTGCCAGCCTTCTTGCTATTTCCCGAAGGGGGTAGACATGAGGTTGTGTGCCAGTAAGGACGCTGGATCCAAAAGGGGTGGATTTAGAGGGGGTCCCACATCG